CCCCCCCCCCCCCCCCGGGATTGTAAAGCACTTAGCACTGAAAAGTGTAGGCGCTATATGAATATTTTAATTAATTAATTTATTATTATTGTTATTATTAATATTATTATCATCATCATACTCGTGATTAAATAAATCGGACAATCGCGTCCTGTTACCATTACTTATTATTATTATCATGTTAATATGACTTTTCTTTCTTTGTTGAAATCAAGGTATAACTCGGAAGAACTGAAAAATTTCCCTCTTGGCACAGTCATGGAAATGCCAAAGCCGCCAATACCTCCTGCACCATACGTCCCACCACAAAAACAGGACTCAGAAGAATCAGATGGTATTTCTTTGCCGGTACGTTGCCTTTTTCCTCCCTTAAAACACGAAATTCAGCCAAATTAGGAAATTATAAAATGTCTGTTAAATTAACAGAAACATAAAAATAACCGCTTGAAACTTTAAAGGAAGGTTAAAATAACATAACAGAAACAACAGATGGCACGGATGGGCAAAACTGAAGAAGATTGAAACGGATTTGAAATTAGGGGTTTTGAAAATTGTTCAGCCTAACAGTTTTTCAAAGTTGATCCCTGCTGCTTGCAACTTCAAAAATAATGCTCAGGAGACATATTTGTTTGTCTCGGATATCTGATTTTGTCATTTACATGTAATTTCTTTGCTTACTTTAAGTTCCATAGCGATTGAAGGCGAGTAATTAGCAGAATTAAACAAAATGAACTGGACTGCCGTGACACACCTCCTTTAAAGTTATAACCCTCTCACTCCTGGCTATGTGTACGGTGTTTGTTTACACCTCAAAATTCGACTGAATCGGGATACTTTCTATGAACTAACGCTCCAACCAATTTTTTGGATATTACAATACTAGTATAATTGTAATGATTACTAAATCTTAGTGGCATTTATGGACTGGTAGAAATAGCATAATTCCAAATTAAAAACGCAAATTCACTTGTGTGTTGACCTCTCAAGCGTTACATTTACCACACCGAAATAAAATGTTGTGCTCCGAGCTACTTATAGCCAAACTTAGGCCGGTTTTTTGCTCAGCACGACTTGCACATAAAACAAACTCTTGTTTTCCATTGTTTCCAGCAGCTAACGAAAATTCTTTGACATGTTATCAGCATTAAAATGATGACGTACCGTTGTCCAAGATGGCGAACACAGAAACGAATGCTTGCTAACAAAATCCTTCGCGCTGGATATTGTTTACTCGTTGTCACGCAAGAAAATATCTTTTCAAGATGCACAATAACAGAAGAATATAATTATTTTTTCTATAAGCCATTTACCTAATTTTTTTCCCTCACTGTACAAAACGAGGGTATTTTACTCTGCCTGAACGGTATGTCCAAGACAGCCATCCCGAGACGTTTAACAGTGCACTGTACTGGACTCGGTGCTTTTGTGCACCGAAGTGCACTTGTTAGGTGCACTAGTGCACCAAAGTGCACTGTTATTAGTATTTCAGTGCACCTGGTGCACTAAAATACTGTTAACAGTGCACTGTTTTGGTGCACTAGTGCACCGACATAGTGCACTTCGGTGCACTTCTAGTATTTCGGTGCACTTTGATAGTTCACCATTTCGTACAACACGTTTTCGACACGTTGTCTTGTTCTTAAAATGGGAAAAACTGGAGCTGAGCGCTTACGTGAATCGCTTGAAAGGAAAAAACATAAAAAGAAAGAAAGAAATGCACGATTCTACTCAAACAACAAAGATAGAATTCTAGCCAAAAGAAAGGAGCAAAGAAGATTAAAAAGGCCACGTGTAGCGGAAGAGGACCGAGACGAAGGCGAAGCACGAAAACCAAATTGGCGTCTTTACAAAGCACGGCAGCGAGCTAGACAAAAGGCCGAAAAAGAAACGCCATTGTCCAAGAGTGTTCCTGTTCCTTCTCCCAACACAGTACGAGAAGCATTTTCTAACAGAGCAGCGCGAAAACGAGCCATTGACACCACAAAAGCCATCCTCCCACGTATTACAAGACAAAAAATTGTCGTCGTCTCTTCTCTCATCGAAAGCCCCACAACGAGGCAGTCATTGCAACAATGTGGCTATGTGAAATCACCAGAAAATTAGGAAGGACTTCTGATAGCATCATCCATTTTGCAAGATGCTACAGCGGCGGCTCAGGCGACTAATATGAAACGAAAGCGATCGAATGATGATCTTACTGCTACTCAAGTAAGTCTTTCATTTATTTGCGGGGAAAAAGTCAGTAGCAAACGCTTGAAAAGCAAGGTCTCTAAAAAATTAGGGATCAACAGAAAGCGCTTAAGTAGTGCTTTCAAACACCGCATCAAAACTCTGAGGAACGACAACTCCTGCTGGCTTTCCTCAAAAAAGTGAACGCGTTCAGACGCTATTCCAGCAGAGCACTGTAAGTTTGCAATGACTCCTGGCCGAGCCCAACAAGCGACGGATCTTCAGAAACCCTGTTCCACTTTTTGCAACTAATAGAGGTGGTTCCTCGAATGAAATGAAACGAAATAAAACTAAAAATGCGTAAAATCACGTCTTCTGGAAGCTGATCAAACAGCATCGTCCAAAGGTGAAAAAATTCGGTGCACTAGTGCACTGAATTCGGTGCACCAGTGCACCGAAACGGTGCACTTGGCCTATGTAACGCTTTTGGGAAGTAACACCGTACACATAGCCTACCAATAGTAGCCAAAGTTAAAAAAAATTCACAAAATTTCTTTTTGTGAGATCTTAAGAAAATAAATTGCACTGTGCAAAGTTCTGCCAAAGACGTTTCTTATGAATGGTCACACCAAAGGATTTCATCCTCAGACTCAAAAGTTAGAATCACCTTGTACAGCATAATAAACAGTACCACAGGAAAGTACTGCTCAGTAGCTTTTATTTGAATGGTCACACCATAGGATTTCATCCACAGACTCAAAAGTTAGAACCACCTTGTACAGCACAATATTGAAAAAGTATTGCTCAGTAGCTTTCACGTGAATGGTAGCACATCAGGATTTCATTCTTAGATTTACAACTTAATGATCACCTTGCATGTTCTATGAGTGAAAGAGTTAATGGGCTATGTATGCCAGCAGCAATCTGTATTCCTCCTCGCTGGCTGGATTGACTGTTTACCCTTTAGACTCAAGGGTGACCAACATCAATTTTCTCTTAACACTATCAGTACATAATCAAAAGAAAAGGTTATGAGAAGTCATCATCATATGATCACCAAGGAAGAAATGTTTTGATAGTTTTAACAATTTCTCTCAGCTTATATCTTCATGTTCACATCAACACTTGTATGGGTCTAGGCCCTGTGCCCATCTTTGATCCAGCCGCTCTTTCGGGGGATGAGTACAGGCTCGTTTTCTCGAACAGGGGCTGGTAATCAATCCTTTATCGAGGCAGATCCACATACAAATTCTCCAGACTGATCTCCATACATTTTTTTAAAGATTATTTGAGAGAATTTGTTAAAAGATCAAAGGCTTCTCCTAATTTAGTAATTCTTATAAACTTTACTCTTGATGATCTGCTGATGTTGTTAGGAGAAAATTGATGTTGGTTACTCTTGAGACCGAAAGAGTTAATGAGTTAAGAAACAGTCCTAATTTAACTCAGTCCCGGGGCCCTTTAAGAAGGGGGTTATGCCTAGGGCTGATCATCTCAACCTGTTATAACTGAGGAATAGGCAGCTAGACATTGTCAGAGGTGAGCCTTTTCCCCCGAGAGCCAAAGGGGAACGTAGCAAAGTGTAGTGTGTGCTACATGTATAATGGATGATAATGATGATGATGATGATGATGATGATGATGATGATGATGATGATGATGATGAAAATACAGTTGTAATAGTTATGATAATGATGATAATAGTAAATGGTGATAATACATGTTTCTTACTAACTAGGAGTCTACAGCAGATGAATCTGATGCAGAGAGTTCAGATGAAGAGATTGAGGAACCTCCAACAAAGAAAACGCCTGGAAAATATAAGGTAAGTGTATACATGTATCTACACTCCATAAACTACATTGTGCATTTTTTCGTTAGAGAGTAGAGCAATTCATGTACAGTAGGTAGACGGAGGCAGTGAGGCTGAATAGTCAGCTCACACAATCCAGAGGTCTTGAAAGTGCACTCGCTTGGCCTAGGTTGATTTGTTTCTCTGTTGTTGCAAGATTGACAGCCACTCTTATACATGTAAATAGCCAAATGGACTCAATTTTATTAAAGCCTTTGCAAGTGTTTTTTTTACAAAGGTTGTGACTAGAATGGATGCCACAAAATCTGGTCATCATCTTTTCTTAAAATACTTTAAACAACCAGGGGCAGATCCAGGATTTTTTTTAGGAGGAGATGCACTCCTCTCTTGCTCTATTTCAACACCAATAAACCACATAGTTTTTTTTTGCAGAATACCAGTTGTATTAGAAAACAGCAGGTCATCTCGGGTAGGGGGGGCGGGGTGTGCACCCCCTGCTCCCTCCCCCTAGATTCGCCCCTGACAACAGTCATAAATAGCGTAAAGTATTTTAATAAAATTATTGAACAAAATTAATAAAGAAAACATAAGAAAGTGGGGTATGTGGAACCCACTACACTAATATCAAGGGCAGCAAACTGACAGTAGGACATGTCAGGAAGCAGCACAGAGAGATGTTATCACACATTCTAAGGGAATTTTAAGAGGTGTGTAAATTATCAGGCCCATTCCATTCAGCCCGAAATACCGGAACAAAGCCTCTGTCTGAAATCAAATGGAATGGACTATTTAGGTTGGGTGCGACCGGAATATTTACATGTAGGACCAGCTTTGAAGGTGGTTCACTTTGACCGTAACTAAACGCGCGGTG